CCAGCTGCTGCAGGATCATTCTCCCCGACCTTGTAGTAGATAACCTTGCAAACTGTGCTCTCTCTTGGGCTTCTGCTATTTCTTCGAGCGTGTTGTGTATGCCAAGCTCAAGCAGACGCTCGGTGCTGGTATGTATGGGTAGGCCCAGGACCTTCTTGATAACTTTCCTGAGGAGCACATTCAGTGTCTCGGACTCTGCTCTTGACCAGTTGTGCATTGCTGCCTCGTATGTGAAGTGACTTAGAACAAACGCATGCATCAACCTGATGAGGTTGTCTTCCTTGATCCCATTTCTTTTGTTGGCCGCTCTGCGTATGAGGTGCACTGCACTGTCTGTTTTCCGAGTTAACTTGGCTATAGATTTGCTGTTGGCGCCGGTAGACTCTATCAGCATTCCCAGGACTTTGATGGAGTCGACCCTCTGGATGGCATCCCCTTGATTTGTACGGAGATGGATGTCTATCTGGTTTAACGGCTTCCATCCCCTGGGCTTTGGTCCCCGGCGTGCAGTCCGATAAAGCAAAAGTTCTGACTTACTCGAGGAGCACTTGAGTCCGGAAGGGCGAAGGTAGTCTTCTACGGTGTCAATCGCCTCTTGCAGAGCGCTCTCAATCTGCCCCTCGCTTCCACCTGTGCACCAGATGGTAATGTCATCTGCGTAGATGCTGTGCTTCAATCCTTCAATGCTCGATAATTTCTTTGACAGTCCAATCATGGCAATGTTAAACAGCATTGGTGAAATCACTGCCCCTTGTGGCGTGCCCCTTGCTTCTAGTTCGATTTCTGCGGTCTCGATATCTGCAATCTTCATCACGGCTTTCCGATCTGTAAGAAAGGACCATACGTAGTCATAGAAGGCTTTCCCTAGACCAAGCTTGGAAATTGCTTCGAGTATGAATGAATGGTGGATGTTGTCAAACGCTTTTTCTAGATCTAGGCACAGAATGGCTCTCACGTCTCTGGTTTCATTGTCAATGACCTGGTGTTTGATAAGCTTCAATGCATCTTGTGTGGATAGCCCTGCCCTGAATCCAACCATATTGTGTGTATATATGTTGTTATCTTCCAAGTACTTGTTTATCCTGTGCAGTATGGCATGTTCTGCGACCTTGCCGATACATGATGTCAAGGATATTGGCCTCATGTTGTCCAAGTTAGGGGGCTTTCCTGGCTTAGGAATAAGGATCGTGCTGGCCAGCTTCCACTGCTCTGGCACCCTGCCTTCTTTCCATGCTGAATTGATCATATCCCTCAGGGTTTCAATTGAATCGTCATCAAGGTTACGCAGGGCCTTGTTTGATATACCGTCCGGACCAGGGGCCGACCTGCCGTTGAGATCATGCAAGGCTCTTCTGATCTCCTCGATGTTAAAGTCGCCCTCAAGACCTGGATTTGGCGTGCCCTGGTACTGTCTACTTGGTGGTGCCAATCCTCTTTTGATTGGGAGGTACTTATGCACGAGCTGCTGGACAACTTGCTGTGGAACCCTCATAGACCGCAATGGAATACGCGTGTTGCGCGCGTTGGTTTGCAGTTTTACGATAAAAAAAAAGAAATGGAAACCACTTTTTGGTTACACCAAGAAATAAATGCCTGTTCTTGTTTATTAAACAAATTATTTCATGCACCCGTTGTCACCTGCACGTTTTCAGATCAATCTGTTGTCGAGTCGAAGAATGCTTCGCATATCGAGCTTGCTGGGGCACTATAGCGGTACTAAAGGGCTGTAGTATATATTGGGGTTTTCAGAAATGTGCCTGCAGGTACTCAAGATCAAAGGGAACGCGACATTTGCTCGCCTCTTTCATATATGTGCTTGTGTTTGTGTGTCGGCAGATTACGTGATAATACATATAAGGAAGTTGAAATAATTAAAGCTAAAGTTAGAAAAGAGAGGTAGTTAAGTAAACTTGGAGTCGCCAGTAATTTTTCTAGAGCTATCAAATTCTAACCAATTTACAGGCGGAACCAAAACCGAAGCACCGATGTCACGTGCAACCGACCAACTCCAGGAGACGTACCCTTAATGAACTGTTCATAAGAACGATTGCAGTGCTGTTAGTTATGCATAATATTTATCTACTTTCGTTGGTGACGTGTGTGGCCATGGCAAGCGCAGCCTTCAGAGCCTAGAAACGAGGCAGCTCAATGTTTGATATAACGCCACTCACTCGTTTTGGGAACTTCGTCTATCGGTGTTTTGGTTTCGGTTTCGTCGGCAAGATAGAACGGATTTCAAAGGTGTCTTATTTTAAACACAATTGCTTATTTTTGAGACTTCATTCTATTGAGCTACGTCAAGGAGGTAGACACTAACAAATTTTTGCAGATGCGCTTATAAAGCAGGAAAAATTGAAGTTGCACTGCCAGGCCGCAGTCTGGTTGTTTGCCCCGTTCTGTTGAGTCAGCATTCTTCGAAGTGAATAGAACAGAAGTGGTTACCGTCCGTAGCCCTTCAACTATTTATTCGAACCGCACGTTCCCAGGCAGAACGCAGCGCACTGTCTTTCGGAAACCTGCAACACGGATAATCATGGCATGGTATTGTTCTTTACGTTTGCGAATTCCTTGATAAACATGCGCCAAGTTCGATATTCACTCGCCAAAGAAATATGCATGCACGCCGTCTGTCTCGCCTTGAATAACAACACCAGAAAACTTAGAATTCAAAGGGCATTCAGAGTCCTAATCGTTCCAATGTTTGATACGTGCAGCCACAGACCGCAAGTCCTACATCTATAAACTTAAAACTCAGGGACAAAGTCGTGTCAGCGAGCATGTAAAGGTTCAAGTTACCTTCCATACAGCTATATGCTTGTATTACACGCAAGCGCACCTTTGATTTTGTTTCTAATTTAACAAAATACGCGAAAAAAAAGGCGATCGTCAGCGAACGGAGCGAGAATACTTATTCTTGAAAAGTGAACGGAGGCGCATTCTTGATGCGATTTGTGCAGCCATAAGCGACGCTCGAAGTCACCATGGCCTTGTAAAATCTATAACTAACTGTTTTACAAAAGCATATCACAGTCTCCAAACGCCACAGTGAGGGCGGAGCTACGAAGCGCACTTTGTCGTCTGCTTCCGAGTCTTTCTTTTTTTCAGTATGGCGGCGACCAGTGTCACTTATCGGGGCGCACCTCCACTCCATAGAGTTTTCTAATATGCTCTACTCCAGAAGACACCCCCGTATTCACAAACGTTCCTCGACTCGACTTCCACCCTTCCCTTGACAAAGTTGAGCACTGCGCCACCACTTGGCTGATAATGACGCTGCGCTACTCAAGAATCGCAGCAGATTATCGCTGATACGCAGTGGGTTACCGTGCCTAGAGACGGCGCTCCCATCGGCTTTCTCAAGTGAAGGTGGAGCGTTGAGTGAAGGGACGTTCTAGAATGCGGGGGATAGTCTTCCTTGGAGTGCATTAACCCTGGGTAGAGTATACTAGAAGTGTTGAGTGGCGTGACCGTGCCTCGCCACCTGATCCCTTCCACGTTGCCCATAGCGGCGGCACTGCAGCCGAATAGTACTATGCGGAAAATGAGCGACTGTTGGAGTGTGCTCTTGAAGACGCGGAGCGCCTTGCAGGCTGCGGGGAAGTGCTCATTCTGGGGGACTTCAATGGCCATATTTCCGAGTTGGATGGGTATATACAGACGCGATTGACAAACTGCTAATCCAACTGTCAGAACGTCTCCAGCTGGAAATCTTGAACAATATTCCGCGTTGCGAGGGTCAAACCACTTGGTGTGCTCGAGAAAGCGCCACATCTATTGACTACGCTTTGGCGTCCGATGTACAGGTGAAAGTCCTCCAGCGACTCCACATAGATGAGGAGGATACGCACAGCATCGGCAGCTATCACAATCACAATCGGCTGGATTTCTCTAAAGCCTATCATTGAGAGCCAAATACAGAACGAAGGATGGCTCCTACTAGGTACCTGCCGGGCGGCTCACTTAAAACAGTGGCGGAGCAATTCGAGGCGAGCCCGAAAAAGAGAAGAAGCTAAGACATACGAAGAGTATGTGTCAGAGCTATGTCGCATCGTGGAAATGCACAAGGTTTGTGGTGGCACAAGACCTGCACGCCACCACAGAAAACCCTAGTGGGACAAAGAAGTGGCTGCAGCATCGCATGCCCGGTGGGAAGCAAATCGCTCCCATCGTCGAGCAGTCAAAACGAAGGACGCTGTACAAACTGACGTCGCGTGGCAGTGCTACCTTCAGTTCAAGCGCGACATGCAATCCCTAGTGCATGCTAAACTTGCCAGGTTCAATGCGTTGTTCCTGCAGAAGTTGAAGGCAGAGGACAGGAACGCGGCCCGGAAATTCTGGAATTACGTTCGAACATTGGACCGGAGTGAGCAGTCTGTACACTTCATTGTAGACAGCAACGGTAACCCTACACAGGACATGAAGGAGGCCTTGACAGGGCACCTGGAGGCTCTGTATGGTTCACGTGGGTGCACGAGGGACCTTCAGTTGGATGAAGGAGACCTTCAGTGTGGCGAAGAGAGGACTGAACAGGGTTCCCCAGAGGAAGGAGCCCTAAAATAGGAATTCAGTCATATCTCTATAGACCGTGCTTTGTCCCATCTCCGAGCCCAAACAGCCTCGGGGCCAGACGGCATCGCATCTCGCTTACTTAAGTGCTTGGGGCAGGAGGCTAAAGAACAGCTAGCTGGCCTGTTCAGCGACATAATTGCGGGAGCAGCCATTCCAGACGACTGGCATCGGGGCAAAGTCTCACTCATCAAGCGTGGAGGCAGGGCAGGGAACCTTCAAGATTACCGACCACTCACAGTCACCAGCATCATGTACAGGCTCTTTACCCATGTGCTTAAGGACTGGATCAGTGACTGGACTGAATCTGAAGGGCGGCTGACAGAACTGCAGAACGGTTTTCGCAGAGGTCAACGACTTGAGGATAACCTCTCGTCCTCACGCAGTGTGCGGAGGTTGCCAGAAAAGAAGGGCGTACGCTTCTATGCTGCTTAATGGATGTGGAGAAAGCTTACGACAACGTTCCACGTGACATCCTGTTCACACGCCTGGAGATACTGGGAATGCCGAAAGAGCTGTTGGCGACAGTCAGACGCCTATATGCCGGCAATAGCGTCATTGCATACTTCGCCAATGTAGAGAGTCGGCCGGTAGGCGTTTGCAGGGGTCTCCATCAGGGATGTCCGCTTTCATCGATTCTATGTCTGCTATACGTGTGGGGCATGGAACAAGCATTGCTCTAGTCAGGCCTGAGGTTCCGTCTGAAGTATAGCACAAGTGGAATCGACGAAAATAGACGGCTGCCTGGCTTGACGTTTGCGGATGATGTGGTCCTAATAGTGGAGACCAAAGTGGACCTGCAGGCTCTTCTGGACACCTGTGCCGCAGAGATGACTGAGCTGGGACTACGCTTCAACGCCAAGAAAACCAAGGTTGTACCATTCGCGGGCAACAGGGCTGAGGCGGCAGACCTCAAGCTAGGAGGTGAGAGCATCGCCACTGACACTGCCTAGGCGTGCTACTGTGTTCCGAGGACAGTATATACGGCCGGCAAGAAGTCCATGTCCGGGAAGTCACGCTGCGGGCAAAGTGCATCTTCCGGCACCGCATATTGTGGGGCCTCAACCATTTCATCATGATCCGGGACCTATGGAAACTCGTTCGCGTCCCCTGCTTGACGTTCGCAAATGCAGTAGTCTGCATGACGGCAGCAACTGGGCAATGGTTAGAGCGGCGACAGCGAGAAGTAGGCCGCACGGCACTCGCCTGCCATGGAAGGGGGGCAAACGAGGCAGTCTAGGGGGACATGGGCTGGTCTGGTTTTGAAGCTCGGGAGGCATCCAGCAAGCTAACGTACCGGGGCCACCTGCAATTCATGAGTCTAGACAGGTGGGCACGGCGGGTATTTGAATACCTTTCGGCAACGTGCATCCGTACAAGCTGGGTGAACCGGGTGTATCGCCTGGAACAGAAGTAGATAACCTTTACGGAACCTGTACAGGCAGAAACCGCAAGGCGATATACCAAGGAAGTGCGAGAGCGGCTTCGTGTGAAGGAGGGGGAAATGAGGCGGCACGCAATGAGTGTCAAATCCACCCTCGAACTGTACCGAACCTACAAGGACACGATCGACACAGTTCATTTGTACGACAACGGCACCGGGAGCTCACTTCTTTTCGAGGCTCACGGAGGTGCGCTCCAAACCCTTGCCTACAGAAGAACGTTCGACAACGCGGTGCTTTCGGTGTTGTGTCGTGATGTGGCAGTGCGGAGTAAACAATTGCGCACATTGTGCTCGAGTGCGGCCAAATAGGCCTCCCGGGGACGGAGCCATTGCACACAGCGCTGGCCTTTGCGGGTGAGGATGGTGTGATCAATCCACAAGCAGTGAAAGAGACGATGTGGCGTGTCGAGCACTGGAGGGCAGTGGTTGTCTCGCAGCGAGCGAAAGCACTGGCTGGCGCAGTGCAGTGACAGTGTAGCAGTTAGAGTGTACTAGAATTCTAGTACACTCTAGTAGCAGTGGTTACGAGCTCGAGCAGAGCGTGATTTTGTGTTGTTGTTGTTGTTGTTGTTGTTCTCCTATTGTTAGTGGCGCATACCCACTGTGGGGGATTGGCCAAGAATCGAGTGGCTTTAAAATTTACTGTTCAGATTTAGAATGATGGAGGTATAACAGAAAGATTACCGATAGCCTATAGGCAAGTGTGGTGCTTAATGTAATGCATACAAATATTTACATAAACAAATTTATTCTTAGAATAGAGCATTAGTCTGATTTTATACGTAAATAATTACGCGAACATGTTAAGATAATGAAACTGGTTAATTAGTCAATCTATTAGTTTCATCAATATAGTCCCGGACGGCCGCGCATACTGTGCCATTACAGAAACCAGAAATGGAAGCTCCAAAAGACAAAATGACAGGCAGAGATAAGTCCATACCAATGCCACGCAAAGGTATTTCTAATAGGGTTTTTCGTAATGTGTTAAACCGCCTGCAGGTCAAAAAGAAATGGTCTATTGTTTCCAGTTCATCACAGAATGCACACAGTGGCGAAGGTGCCTGAGCAGACCTGTGTTTATAGAAATTTAGATTTGGTACCCGGCAACGCAGCCTTGTGATAGCTACTTCTTGTTTTCGAGTGCGGCAAAAGTCTCTTCGCCAGGGATATAATAAATGGCGATATTCTGTAGAGTTTGTTAGTGCTGAACCTTTAAAGACTTGCATAAGCGTACGTCTGCGGAATCGAGCAGCAGTCACATAAGCGGATGATGGAGGGAGCGGTAGAATTGGTTCGCTGATTGACGACTTAGCTAAGGAATCTGCTATTTCATTAAGAAACAAACCTTTATGTCCAGGCACCCAAACTAATCGCACTTTTCTTAAATGCGCAGGTACTAGTGCACGGAACGCCTTTGTTACGTGATTATCAGCACCAACAGAAAGTGCCGCACAAAGAGATAGGGAATCTGTTATTATGACAGCTGATGTAATTGCTGTATCTAACTTGCGTAAGGCGAGCACTACTGCCAGAAACTCAGCCACAAAAACGGGTATGAAATCGGGTAGTCGAAGGGAATAAATCCAATTTAAAATCGGGCTGAAAATACCAACCCCTAACTTTTCGTCGTATTGCGATGCGTCTGTAGCAATAATAACGTTCGTTGTAATACGGCGCAGGTGATCTTGAAGTAAAACATCCAAAATATTATGGGGAAGTAATTTGGCATTATTAGGAAAAATGTCGTCGAATTGAATTTCCACCGGGGCTGAATTATAACGACTTGGTATGATGTCGCATATACGTACGTTTAGAGGCTCTAGTAAATTTTGCACAAATATAATTTGTGGCGTGTGAAATCGCGGCCATCTAGCAGCAAAAAATGATTCCGGGGTGGAAATAAAGGCTGTTTCTGAATGTCGTAATGGTGATTCATAAATTCTTAAGAATGTCTGAACAGTCAGAAGGCGAATTCGACAAGAAAGCGGAGGGACCCTCGATTCGAGATATAACACATTGTTGGCGACTGTTTTTGGAAGGCCAAGGCATAAGCGCAAAGCTTCTCTTTCCAGAAGAATTAGAGGCCGCAACTTGTAAGCTGGAACTCCAGAGAAAAGCACACAACCAAATTCCAAAATGGGACGAACATACATGCGATATATCATTAATAATGTGTCTCTCCTCATACCTATGCGGCAGTTACTTAGCTTACGTAATATGCCAATGGCCCGCACACCTTTTCCGGCGATATATTCGATATGAGACCGCCAGTTAAGCGATGTGTGATAAATTACTCCAAGGTATTTAACAGATTCCACCTGTGGTATATTCTCATGATGGTAAGACAGAGAGATGTTCACAGGGTATTGCAGCGGGAAAACAAGGAGGGCACATTTACTCGGATTAAGTAAAAAGCTGTTGCCATCGAGCCAGCTCTCCAATATATTAAGGTAAGTCTGCAGCCGTTCATATAAGGTCTGAATGTTATCTGCCATTGCAAAAAATGCGATATCGTCTGCATAAACATAAGTTGTTATATCCTGTTTACGTGGGATGGTGCTCATTAGTAAATTAAATAGCACCGGGGAAAGCACCGAGCCTTGCGGTACTCCCCTCGTTTGGGTATAAGTAGATGATGAAAACCCATCTTTAAAACAATAAAATTTCCTGTCTGCGAGAAAATTGTGAACCCACGCTACTATGTATGATGGAAAATCAAGGTATTCTAATCGATCTATCAAAATACAGTGCTCCACGGTATCATATGCTTTAGCGATGTCTAACGTAACTAAAGCAGCATATTTTTTATGTAGCCGAGCTAATTGAAGCCTACTTTCTAAGTCAACGTGGGCATCCCAAATTGAACAACCAGCCCTGAACCCAATTTGACAGGGACTTAGAATAGACCTCATGGTGATAAGTTCATTAATTCGTATATTGATGATTCTCTCAACCAATTTCACTAAGTTTGATGTCAGTGCAATCGGCCTTATGTTATCCAACGTGTATGCATCATTTTCATTTTTTAGCAACAATACAATTTTGGCAAGTTTCCATTCTGGAGGTATCCATGCATTCCCCAAAGAGTAATTCACTAGTTCTAGCAAAAGATTAGGCGATTCCTGGAGTAAACATTTCAACATAGAGTTCGTAATCCCATCTGGTCCGGGAGCCGTCCTCGCTAAGCATAATACTGTCTGATTCAATTCAGCTAAAGAAACTTCTGGAAATTCATGCAAGTTTACCAGAACGGACTGAATAGCCGAAAAATTCGCAGTGAAGCGGCGTTCTAAACCTTGCGCTATGTCTTCTAGAGAGGTGTTCATTTCTACCAGCGTCAAGACACATGACTGCAACGTTAAAGGTGCTGGTAGTACTTTTCTTGTCCGAAGATAAGCGAACAAAGCACGCTTATTCTTTGATTTAGAAAGATAATCAAAATGTCTACTCTCGTATTCTTCTTTCGCGCGGTTCACTGTACGCTTAAATACGCCAGCAAGGAATTGATAGTCTTTCCAGTTTGTTGGGCTCTGATCAAGAAGAAGTTTTTTCCAAGCGGCTTTTCGTCTTCTATAATCGCGCGTACACTCATCGTTCCACCAACGAGAGGAGGATCGTTTATTAGATGGAATAGAAAATTCAGAATTTTTTCTAGATACCTCCAGCATTGAACCTATCGTAGATGCAATCTCCTTAGTACTGGCATTTCCAAGCTTGGAAATGGCAGAACGGAGGCAGGCTTGAAATTTGCTTTGGTTGATGTATGTGCGTTTTGGCTGATCTAAAGTTATTTTTGGACAAGTAATGTCAAAAACTACAGGAAGATGGTCACTGTTAGTTGCCGAATCCAGAACAGCCCATGACAAAATCTTGATTGCATTGGAGCAAAATGTTAAATCCAATACTGAGCTAGTTTGACCTCGGACAAATGTTACATGACCTTTATTCAGACAGGAGAGGTTGTGATCAATAGTCCATTCCCACAGTCGCCTACCACAAGAATCTGTCCTTATACCCCAAGACAAATGGTGTGAATTAAAGTCTCCTGTGAGTACAATTTCCTTTCTACATGCTACCAAAACGCTGTCAAGATAACGCGTGCTTCGCACACCGGAGGGGAAGTAACAATTTACGATTGAAAAAGGGTGGTATCCGGGGAGACACAAGTCTAATGCTAATAATTCGCAATTGAAGTCTAACATTCTGAAAGAAATTTTCGCTTTATGGCATAATTTACTTGATACAAGGATCATTAAACCACCACCACGTGATGGGCGATCTAATCGAAAAGAACGAAAACCTGCAAGATGGAAATTTTTATCTGGTGTAAGCCAAGTTTCTTGGAGAATTATAATATCAAGATTAAAATTATTGCAAAAGTAATGTAAGTCGGTTGAGGCTGAGAATATAGAACGGCAGTTCCACTGCAGTACCCTCAACTGACCTATGGTGTTGAGCGCACCGCAGAGGCGCATGTCGCGCCCTTGTTAGCAACTTCACGCGAAA